AAAGGTCGCGTATGTTTGGTGGGATGCGGATTCGAACCCGCGACCCTCAGATTGTGAGTCGAGCGCCTTATCCACCTGGCCATGTCGGGCCTACATTTAAATCATCTGTTCAGAAAGTACTATTGGAAAATGGAAAAGCGTAATTTTAACTTATAGATTTACAAACGATATATTTTCTTAGTTCTCACACGAACCTAATTGTATGCATAAGCATAAAAAATTAGTTTGTAAATAATCTGATATACTTTTTTTTCAGTGCAGCATTAAGCTAGGTCTGGAAGGGTTATGTGAAAATCGTACTTTAAAGTTCGAATTAGTTGTTGCAAAAGTCAGCTGTTTGAATGGACAGCCTAATACTGAATCATTTGTTCTGGAGTCGATATCATACAATTTACTTTTTCTAAGGAAGAAGTGCAACATCAGTCGTGTAAATCTCGCGTTGTTAGCTAACTATAAATCAACAGTTTGATTAAATAAATGTTTAAACCTAATAAATTACACATCAGTCGTGTAAATCTCGCGTTGTCAGCTAACTATAAACAACAGTTTGATTAAATAAATGTTTAAACCTAATAAATTACACATCAGTCGTGTAAATCTCGCGTTGTCAGCTAACTATAAAACAACAGTTTGATTAAATAAATGTTTAAACATTCTATAAACGTTGTTCGTAAGAAGTTCTTGCTTACCTGTTCGAAGTACTGCATTAGGTACTGACTGTGCAAGTCGAATCAGAACGTCTTTTCGGTTCTTCTTACAACATAAAATACACGCAATGGCCATAGAAACGGTTAAACAACCAACAATGAATATAGCAACCCTACAGGTCAGAAATTAACACTGATTACTGGAGAGTCATCTTTTTATTCAACGGTAACTTTCAAAAATAAGTTATTTATGATAGTTTTAATTATTAGTTAATCAGAAAGTTTTCTCAACAAGGCATAATATTTCACACTTTAGTTTAGACATTAAATTATTATCATTTTTATTTAAAAAGATGAATAAAAACATTATGAAGAGAAGATTCGATTCAATGAGTTACGTGTGAGCCACCTTTATTTTTAGACCTGAAAAAAAAAATGTTCGCACGTTACTCACAAAAACGCGAATGCTTACCAGAAGTACCAGGCAGAATAGAGTGGCGCCACCTTTGTTGGAGGAACGTTACAACATTGGTCTCCACAACAAAAATATTCGTTTCCAGGGCAACTAGACAACAAAAAGAAAAGAATAAGCAACATTAACAGCACGGAGTGGAAAAAAAATATAGAAGTTTTGACGTGCAAATATAAAGCAGGTAAAAACTGCAATATATTACTATAGTCTCTCAGAAACTGTAGTTATGGTAAAAGAGAAAGAAACGTTATTAAAAAATATTTATATGATATATATGGCAATATAAGTAGGTGTAATTATCTCAGAAATTTGAATCAAATCAACACAGTCTAGAAAAGTTTCACTATTTAAAAGCCAGAATGATATCCAACTTCAAAAAACCTCGTAACTAAGTGAAAATATCGTCCACTTCAGTTAATACAATAACTATAGAATACCTATTTTCTATATGACTGAACTTCATTAAGAAGGATAAAAAAACACGATTGCCTTATTTTCGTTCTGTCTGCACGAACGGCGAAAATTCTAACAATAATCTCGGTAATGGATTTTCATTTCAGTTATTAAACTATTTTAAAAGGAAAACGATAAAATGTAGTTGTGTTAAAATGTCTAATAATTTAACATTCTGTACGAAATATTCAACGTGTCGTAAATGTATTCACTATATTATATCTTTTATTATATATGTGTCGATGTTTTACACGTTTTTGTTTTGCAGTAATAAATATATTATTGCCAAAGTTACGTTAGATATTTTTCGTTAAAATTTTTCTTTGCCTTCATATGTCTATGTCATTTAATCAAGGTTGAGTTTCTTTGTCTTTCTTTATATTTTAAATTTAGTGCTATACTAAACATTAACTTGGTACATTTAAAAACGATTTATTAGTGAAAGTATAGAATAAAGTAATAACATATCAACCACCTTATATCTGCTAACTCCAGTGCCGACGAGGCCTTTCGCGTAATATCAGGGTTCATCAGGCCGGTTGGGTTACTACAGACATAATAGTGGTCGAGACATTGTATATATTTTACTTCTGTACCTTGTGGTGATGATTAAGTTATAATGTTACTAAGATCGTCTTTCGTATATTGAAGATTATGTTTTTGCTTGTTTTAGGGCACAGTCGCATTGGGCTGTGTCCACCATTTGAATCGGACCCCGGATTTAGCGTTGTTAGTCCATAGAAGTGTCGCTCTCCTAACGCGAGGTATTTGGGCAGGACGTTGCACAATGTTTAGCGAATCCGGAGTGTGAATCCGAGGATTCTAGGTTCGCGTCCTGTTGTCGCGAAAATGAGTTTTGTACTTTGGACCGTGGATACGTTATAAGACTAACGATCAGATCCCACTATTCGGTCAGATGAAATTAGCCCAATAGTTGGCAGTGTGGCTTCTTAACAAGCTAGCTATTTTCCGTCTAGTCTATCATTCAAAATTAGGGACAACTATGTGCAGATGGAAACAAAAACGAAAAAAACAACATTTGTTCATTGTTTTCATTTACAATGTTCAACAACTTATGTTAAAAGTAACAATTAACACTAAATATATGAATGTGGATTTAAGATCTAGCATTAGTTAATTGTTAACGAATTAAAATTTTTGTTATGCTCCTAAGCTAACTTCAAGATCTTACGTCATAATTGTTTGTTTGTTTTGAATTTCACGCAAAGCTACGCGAGGGCTATCTGCGCTAGTCGTCCCTAATTTAGTATAAGACTAGAGGGAAGGCAGCTAGTCATCACCACCCACCGCCAACTCTTGGGCTAATCTTTTACTAACAAATAGTAAGATTGGCCGTCACATTATAACGTCCCCACGACTGAAAGGGCGAGCATGTTTGGTGTGACGGGGATTCGAACCCGCGACCCTCAAATTACGAATCGAGCGCCCTAACCACCTGGCTATGCCAGGCCACTTACGTCATAATACTGTAAAGTAAATCTAGGGTCTTAATAATAAGATATTTATATCGTAAATGCAATTAAGGTTTTTAATTAGACATCAGTCTCGTGAGTTAAGACATTAAATACGATTTTTGCCATGTGAGTTAAAATCTTACTTTATATCTTCTTAAAATTACTTTAAGGTCGGATATTCAAAGTTTCTCACGTGAATTTATAGTCCTACATTAGATATTTCTAAAATGGGCCCATGATCTCACGTTCAAATTTCTCAATGACCCTGTATAAGGTGATTTACCAACAATTCACAATCGCATGTTACCTCTTCACAAGTTTTAATTCAATACATTGTATGCTGTTGAAGCTACATTCAGGGATTAATTTAAGTATCAATAAAACTGTGTGGTTTTGAGTCTGTGAAAAAGAAAAGAAAACATATACATACAATCAGTAAAACTGGTTGTAGATCTTCCAAAAGATGATTAAAGGTCTTGAATAAGAGGTTCTAAAATGAGTTCAAACTCCTCCATTAAGTATTCTTAAAGTGTTTTCAAGATCGTAAACAAAACGTTCCTATATTGATTAAAGGTAATATAGTACACGTCTCTATAATAAGTTCAGAATCTCACATTAAATATTAGGTCGTCAAGAAATTAATGTCGCATTTTGGAACACTTTCATTAACAACCCCCCAAAAACGTACATCACGTATAATAGTTAA